ACCCAAGACACCAGAACCCTAGCCTTGAAGACCTAAATCCCGAGCCCTAAACCCCAAAGCCGAAACCTAAGACTTAGAAAGCCCTAAAGGTTTAGGGTTTAGGGTTTAGAGTTTAGGGTTTAGGACCCTAAACCCTAAACCCTAAAACCCTAAAACCCTAAACCCTAAACCCTTCCCTTAGTCCAGAATCCCTACCGCCAACCCGAAAGCCCCTGAAGCCCAAAATCATGGTGAGGGTGAGATGGAGTGGGCGGGTGTGTAGGGAAGTCTAACGGTTGCGGGTTCAGGGTTCAGGGTTTAAGGGCGGAGGGGGTTAGGGTTTAGGGTTTCAGAAGGGGCTCCGGGTTCAGAGTTTAGTGAGAATGAGGATGAAGGGTTTAGGGTTTAGGGGTTTAGGGGTTTAGGCTTTAGGGTTTACGGTTTAGGGTTTAGAGGATCAAGATGAGGGTGGGTCAAACCGTACCGGGTGCCCGGCCAGCAGTATTTGCTGCATCTGGCCGGGCCGCTTCAGCTCGAGAGCCTCTGACGCGAAGCCGCAGACGAGGTCTCAATAGTAGTATAGTTTCGAACTGCATTCTTAGTATATTCATAATTTCATTCTTATTATTCTCATGAGTCTTATGATTCTTATCATCATGATTATGATTGTTATTGTCATTTCGTTCTTATTATTCTCATTAGTCTTATGATTCTTTTCATCATTATTATGATTGTTAGTGTTCTTCTAGGGGTTATTATATTTGCGATTATTGTCCGTATTGATATTCTTCTCTATTCTAACCCTAAGTATCATTATAATCTAGTATGGAACCCAAACCCTAAACCGTTTAAACCCTACCACTGAGTTGTATGGCGGTCTTACGAAGGCTTCAGAGGGTGCCTCAATCCTTAAGAGTAATGTCTAGGGGTTTACGGTTTAGGGGTTAGGGAGGGGGTCCCAGCACTAATTGTCTTTAATCCGGGTTCCATCTCCAGAATTCCCAAACCCGACGAAATCCCTAAACCCACAGCCCTAAAATGGGGAAAGCGCAGGCCCGATGAGAGCAGGGATTCTAAAGTGTGCGGACTCTCTCACGACATGTGGGAGCTTCCGAATTACTAGGGCCCTTCGTTTTCAGCGCCCCTACAAGAAGCCCCCTACGATTTAGGGTTCTAGTTCAAGGCCCGCATTTCCTAAACCTCTGATAGAGTTCCTGCGGTGCTGCGCTTGAACATCATGCTACTCGTGCCATCGTTCTTGATATGATTTTTTTGGGCATCGTTTATCTCAGCTCTCTGAGAATTCCTGCCCTTCTTCAGCTCTTCCTAGCGTTTCCTCCACAGATATGGCATTTCCTCCACCGATATGGCGCCGTCTTGCATCTTACGACTCTTCTTGCAGCCCCTAACCCCGAACCCTAAACCACCCCCAACCCGTATAATTCTCATTGCGACACGTATAGAACCCTGACATTGCAACCACTCTGGAACCCCAGTAGTATCTTCAGTGATCCCCTCAACCCTGTAGCACCCTCATTTGACTCTCCCTTCCAGTACCCTTGTATCGCCCTTATAGTACCCTTTTTATCGTATCCCTTATAGAACCAACCCAACCCTGGACCACTGCAAGAACTTGAGGCAGATGCCAACGTCAAGGCTGCTTCTACCTTCGCGCTTTGAAATTTTGGGGGTTCAAGGTTTAGGGTTTAGGAGTACCGAAATTTTTGGGAGTTTAGGGTTGGAGGTTTAGGAATTTGGGGTCTTAGGATCTAGGAATGTGGGGATGGGTGCGTAGGGATTGTGCAGGGCAGACCTCAGGGTGGCGGAAACCCTACTAAAAGAGAACACATGGGGGCTTGAGGGATCTTTAGGCTTTAGGAGGTTACGGTTTTGGGTTTTGGGGTTTAGGGTTAGGGTTTAGGGTTTAGGGTTTAGGGTTTGGGGTATCGGGGTTTAGGGTTTAGGGTTTGGGATATACGGGTTTAGGGTTAGGGGAAATCGGTGTTGGAGGCGACTCTAAGACTTCCGCCCTTCTTGCGACAGAAGCTTCCGGTGGCGCACCACAGCCGTCTTCTGCAGCTGCCTAATATAAGGGCCTAAATAATTAGAATAGGGTTTGGGGGCCCATGATACTATAATCATAATAAGGAACCCCCGAAATAGTATAGGTAATTATTTAGGCCCCTACATTATCATGCTCCATGAGCCTAAAAGCAGAAAAACTCGACTGTTGGAGACTCCAACATCCCATAATTAAAGAACTTACCTGAGTATGAGCTAAAGCACGTTGCTTAGTTAAGGGCTTTGGAGTCTCTGGGGGGACACCACCACTAAACTACTACACCCTGCACCCTAATACAGGGGCCTTAGGGTTTTGGGGCCGATTCTACTATAAATAGGGCTTAGGGTTTAGGGTTTAGGGACCCCCACAATAGTATTCATTCAGCCATTCAGCAGACAATAGAGTCAACAGACGCGTCTCAAAATTCCATGCTTTGAATTCAAAGCAGGGCCAACGGGTAGTACACAATGGTATTGGTAACTATCCTAAACCCTAAACCCTAAACCCTAAACCCTAAACCCTAAACCCTAAACCCTAAACCCTAAACCCTAAACCCTAAACCCTAAACCCTTATTTAGCCCCTACATTACACCCGACACCAAGGTGGCCTTTCCCTCCCTGACCAGCAGGCCGATTCTGGAGTCCTGAGGCAATCTTCGTCACAAGGGTCAGGCTTGAGAGCCCATGCTTGGTTTAGGGTTTAGGGTTTAGGGTTTAGGGTTTAAGGTTTTCTGAGATACCAATATTTTCCAGCTCTGAACCCTGACAACGCGAAAGCTTGGAAGCCTAAACCCCAACCCCTGCAATGTCCTTGATCGCGAGATCCGCTTTCTCATCCTGGCCTGCTACACGGGGGGGGAGGCCAGAAAGGGCTACTGCTAGCAGCCTCTTGTCGCTGTTTCGGACTCGCGGCTGAGGGTTTAGAGTTCAGGGCCTAGAGCCACACCGAGGCTGAAACCTCAAGCAAAGCTTCGCATCCGGCAACCATTGACTCTAAACTGCAAACCCCAGTATCCCAAAAAACGTGAGCCCGAAACCCCTGGATCCCAAACGTACAAGACATGCCAAAGCTTCGCTGCTTCTCCACTTCGAGAGTGGAATCGCGCCAAACACCTGGGCTCTGCTAGGTTTTGGGTCTACGACTGAATTAAGATTGAGCGTTCGGGGTTTAGGGCATTTGGTGCAGTGTGGCGAGGGAGAGGGGAAGTTGATATTTCTACTCGCGTGAGATATCACTCGGAACGCTGTTGCTTTTGCAGCTGAGGCACAAATCTTGGAGTCAGCGCCGCCAGAAACCATCCGATCCCCCAGGATGTCAATGCACCAGACTTTGCTGGTGTGTTCTTCGAGGGTGGCTGCACACTCTGCAGTCCTTCAAAAGCTTGCAGCCAAACAAAGTCAAAGGGTGCAGGAAAATGTGCGGTCTAAGTCTGACTGCGTCAAGTGCATCTGCTCCTGATGTGCCAGAGTTTGAGCAGGCCGTCGACGCTGCTGCTCATGAGCTGCATGCCGTTCGCCAGGAAGGCGACGCGCAGAACCGCGCTGCTGTGGCCCTGGAAGGAGCGGATGGCCCTGCACACGCACAGGGGCATAGCTTCACGCGACCTGGTTTCCATGTTTTAGGTGTCTTATGATTAGAACGACTAACTACATGGGAGCTTCCGAAAATTAGGGGTACCTTATTTTGGGGTCCTTATAATAAGGATCCTATTATTTAGGGTACTATATTAGGGTCCCCTATTTTCGGAAACCCCCACATGCATCAATGATACTCTGAGATAGAACTGTTGGTCTTCTGCCGTACTTACACATCAGGCAGCCGAGACTCATACAGCCCCCTGAACCCTAAATCCTAAACCCCTAAACCCTAAGTTTAACCCCTAAACCCTGAACCCCTAAACCCCTAAAACCCTAAACCCCTAAACCCCCAAAACCCTAAACCTTAAACCCCTAGACCCTAAATTAAAAGCCCCAAGCCCCAAGCCCCCTAAACCCTAAA